CAAATAGATACCGTGAAATTGCTCGTCATCATGCTTCTCGGCTTGCAGTTCCTAATTCTCAGCAGGAGGATCCCCAGGAGTCTTTTAACAAAGAAATGCAAATGCAGCCCATAGAAGCTGGTAAAAAATTCGAGAACTTTCTGGGTCCCTTTTATACTGAGATGAAGCTAATTAAAGAGCGAAATATGAAGCATAGTCCTCAAAAACTGATCATTTGGAAGCCCTCAAAAGATCGTGACCATAACATTTCAATGCCGTCAGTTCCTTTGCTGTTGGATCTGTCATTGGAAGTCCTTGCTAAGAATGCTGAGGCTATAGTTTCTCTTGAACATATACCAGATGCTCTGAAGCATAGACTCACTGATTTGCTCTGTGATTCGCGTAAAATGAATATCCATGCCTTGGACCTCCTTGTGCAAGGGTCTCCAACTGAGATACGCATAAAGGACTGTTCATGGATAACAGAAGAACAGTTTACCAAAAGATTTGGGAGTTTTGATCCTAAGAACTTGAAGGTAAACAGTTTTTCCTTATCATTTGTTAGCTATATACCTGTCTGTTTGGTTTTAGTAAAGTAGCATAAAGTAACAGAGTAGTAGTAGCCATATTTGCTAGCTTACTACTCATTTACTTACAGTTTACGTTCAGGTGGATTATATTTCTAATTTGAATGACTCATGCCCAGCCAAGAGGGTTGGTCACTTGGCACCTCAAGTGCTTGGTTTGGCTCCCCCTGGCTGACCACCTTATATAAATGGGACGACCATGCGCCATGCTCCTCTTATCATCCGCAATGGGAACTTTCTTAGCTATTATATTATATATAGCACTGCATGGTGATAGTCCTTTGGGTCTAACTTCAGGACATGCGTCAAGGGCTCTTCCCCGTCCCCCTCTTCTGAATGTTTTTTGTAAGGATGGACATCGACTAGGCCGGGCTTAAGCGAGAAAAAAATCACGTGTCCAAACCCAACCCTACCAAACATTAGGCCTAAAAATCCCCTCCCAGGCTCGGCCCTAAAATTATATCACAATCCTAAGCCCACACAAGATAAAAAAATAAATGTTAAGAAACTAAATAATAATTTCGTAATTGAGTTAACACAAATACTTGGTATTTACTCGTTACATCCTAGGTTCAAACCTTAGTGGGTGTATTTTTTTTCTTAAGTGCATTTTCTTTATCTAAACAAAAGCGAAACAAAATAAATTATACATGGTCTGTGTATTCTATGCGCATGTTGTATATAATATATTTTATATGCCTTGTATATAATTTACTAATAGTTGGGCTTGATTGGACTAGGCCTCAAGGACTATTCCTAAGCTTGACACATTTGGTAAATGGGCTTAAAGATTTAGGGTAATTCTACGTACACCACAAAAAAAAAAAAAACCTACTCATTACTCCCTTTAATTTTTATTTTTTCTATCACTATTTTATCCTTTTGTGTAAAATTACCAATTGATCCCTAAACCCTAAAAATTGAACCACCAATTTCTTATCCCACCCATCACCCTTCACTCTCTCTCTCTCTCTCCTCTTAACCCACCTTTGGTAGCCCTCCCCCTATTGTTTCCCACCTCCGACAACTCTCTCCCAACCCCCAGCATTCTTTCCCCTACCTCCGGCAACCCCCCGCTACTTCTCCACCTCCCTAAAACCAAGGTTGTTAAGATCGGGATCCTACGCAGGATCGTTTTGGGGGTCTGCTGGATCGGATCGTAGGATCGGATTGAGAATCGTAAGATCCTATTAAAATGATAAAAGAAAGTAATAGGCTGTGTTTGGTTGTGTTTTCAAACCATGGTTCTACAGCTTGATTCAAGTATGATGTTTAGAACGTGTTCTGAAATCACGTTTCCAAAACTCTGCACAAAACACTTTGTCTCAGGCGCGGTTTTCAGAATTTTTTTTTTTCACATTTGACCTAACCAGTTGTCCCACCGGTTGACCGGAACAGTGAAATTTTTTTTTTTTTTTTTTTTTCGATATGTTAATTTTTATATATTTGAAAAAATATTTTCTGAATTTTTTAAAATCTTTTATGTCCTTTAAAATAATTTTGAGTTGTATGTTTGGTTATGAGTTGTAAGTTTTTGTATCAAATATCATATGTCACATCAAAAATTCCCCACTCATTTAAAACTCTTTTCAAAACTCTTCACCAAACAAATTTTTCACACTCAAATCATAATTCTAAAACTCACAAACTCAAAATACAACTCATACTCTCAAATCATATTTACAAAACTTTACCTTTATATGACTAAGTAATACTATCAAAATGTATATAGAATAATCCCCCCCCAAAAAAGAAATATAGCAATTAAAGGTAGCATTCAAACATTTTTTCTCAGAAAAAATAAATAAATAACATAATAAAAGAAAATACCAACACTTGCACAACATTCTCATTGTTTCTTAATGAAAAGAAGACAACTTAAATAGGGGAAGAACAAATAAAATAAGTCATGATTGTCGCCAATATTATCATCATTGCTGCAATTATCATTAATGTCATTGCCACAATCATCATCATCACCCTCGGTGTCATCCAACTCCTCAATGTCTTAACCAATAGTAGCATTTTTAAAATTAAAAGAGCTTTTTTTCAGCATAAGTTCAGGGAAAAAGAACCAAAGTAGAAGAGGTGGAGAAAAAAAAAGCAGTACACAGCAAGAGGGAAAAAGAACAAAGAAGAACCAGGAAAAATGAACACCAAAGAGAGAGAGAGAGAGAGAGAGAGAGAGAGAGAGAGAGAGAGAGAGGAGCACCATTCTAGAGAAAAGAAGTTGAAAGAAGAAAAAAGGATGATTCGATTTGATTCAAATCGAATAGAGAGAATAACAAGAATCAAACAGAGAGCAGAAGAATAAGAAGAATCAAACAGAGAGAAGAAGAAGCAGAAGCAGAAGAAGAAGAAGAAGAAGAAGATGAAGAGCAGCGAACAAGAAGAGCAACAGAAAAAAGAAAAAGAGAGGGAAGATTAGAATAGAAGAAGAAAAATAGTACATGGTTCTAGAAAATCTGAAGCTTTCCAATCTCTTTTTCCCTAACTTGTTTTGCCCTAATCGAATGTGTTCTTCAGCTTAGATAGTAATATTTTTGTTTCTTCTCTTTTGATAAGGGTTATTTTGAGTTAAAGTTAGCAAAAAAGCCCTCTTAAACAGAATCGCAAAGAATCGCGATCCTAATACGATCCCAACGATCTCGTAACGATCCTGACGTAGGCCTGATCCAAAGTATGAGTCAGATCGAATTATATATATTGGATTGTAGGATCGTACAATCTTACGATCCGCATCGCGATCTTAACAACCTTGCCTAGAACTGCCACAATCCTTGACGACCCACCTCATTCCTCTGCGACCAGCAGCGACCAGATCTTCCTTCTTCTTCTCTTCCTTCTCCAAACCCTAGATTTAAAACTCTCTCTCTCTCTCTCTCTCTCTCTCTCTCTGGTTTGGGGGTAGGGTTTCACAATGAGGAGGAAGAAAGGGATCCCAAGGGTTGAACCGAGATCATTGAGCTGGATGACCTCTTGAGGTCCAGCGCTTTGCCAGCTGCACCAGCCATTCACTCTATGTATAGAGAAAATAAAATAAAACAAAATAAATAACTAAAAATAATCCAACAAAGAAACAGATTTTTAATAAAACTAAAATTCCTAAACTAATGCCTCCTGCGCCTAAAATAAGTGCGCAACCCTCTCTCCTGATCCCCATCACCAATTTGTAAAGTGGGTATGTAAAGAATCTAATAATTACACCTTACATACATATATAGGAGGAATTTCAACTTAGATCTAGGGTACAATTCTTATACGTCAATAATTTTTTGTTTGATTTTGACCAAACATTATTAAATACATTTATCGTGGTTATCATTCATGTCAAATATCAAATTGATTGGATGTAGGCAAGTGTATAATGCATGACCTCACATTTCTCTAAATAAAATACTAACTTAAACATAGGATTCATGGATTAGTTATGAATTTCCAATTGATTTAGTTTTCAGCATGCATGATAAGGATGGGAATTACATTTAATCCAATGGTTGGATTAGCGACAAATAAATCCAACGAAAAGGTACTGAAGTCATAATTAACTGGCGTGGTAGGCAGGAGATGCCTTTACCGGATGATATTCTGACACAGCAGGAGGGAGTTGGTCAGGCCAATGTAGCCGAGCCAGCAGGTCAGGAGGCTATGGGCACTTTAGCCCGAGGGATAGCTGATGCTTTGAGGGAGTCTATGGGTATTCTCAGAGCTGAGACTCCAGTTCAGGCTCCAGTGCAGGCCCAGGTTGTTGAGGCAGGGCCTTCCTTCTTGAAGAGAGAGTTCTTCCGGTCTAACCCGGACGAGTTTATTGGAGATCCAACTGATGAACAAAAAAAACAAAAAAACGAAAGAAAAAAATGGGTTTTGGAGGGAGGGGGGGTTGGGCGAAATTAGCAGTCTACTTTTTTTTTTATTACCATTTCAATTTGTCAAAATTTTTCCTCTAAAATTAGTGACGAAATAATTTTCTCACTAAAAGGTCTCAAAATATTAAAAATTATTAGTGAGAATTCTCACCAAATGATCTTAAAATATTTAAAATTAAGTTTCTCAAAAAGAAAATATATAAAATTATTTGTGACAAAAATATATTCCTCACTAATAAATATATAATTGGTGACAAAAATTTTTATCACCAAAAGTCTCAAAATTTTGGCGCTACTAAAAAAAATTAGCAGGAAAACCTTCGGTGACGAAATTTAATTTTTCCTCACCTAGAAAGAAGTATTTATTGACGAAAATAAATTTCGTCACCTATTATTTTTATATTTTTATTATACGTGACAAAATTTATAATTCCTCATGGATTATTCTTATTTAGTGACGAAATTTGTTTTCTTTACTAATTTTCGTCACCATACCAATACAGAGAATAAGAAAAAGAGACACTAGAAAAAGAGCAAAGAGAAATCACGTACAAAATCACCGAGGCCTACTGGTACCAATACGTACCATAAAACGAGCAAAAACAGTACAATGACAGGTACAACTGTGCAAGATTGATAACTATGGTCTTAAATCATAGTACCATTTAGTCCATTTCTCTATTACCTTCCCAACAAACTATTTGATTGCACTCACGCTTCTCTATGAATATCAAACTTCAAGCTCAACATGGGCCTACAATATCAGAGACAAAACTAACCCTACCTACATATCTGAGGGGAAGAGAATGCCCATAAAAAACTAAAAGGCCATTTGTCTTACACAAATGCGAAAAATAGCATACTCTTCTATTAGTTAAACCAACAATTTAGTGTTTTTAACAAAGCAAAATTGCCTTACCTCTATCATCCCAGTCTTCATTTTCTTATTAACTGACTCACTGGGCCTAGGCCGAACAACACCTTCCACAGTAATCACAAACTCGAGCCTCAGGTCATTAATAATCAAATGTGCATCAGGGAACTCATCGGGGAGTGTGGTAACCTGAAAGTAAATAATGTCAACATCAACTAGGATAAATTACTGGTAAATTTTGCAAATTTATTATACAAGTCGATGAAGTTGCATGCACTAAAACAACAAATTTTAATCAAACATTCTGTGGCATCAAAAACAACTTGAGACAGAAGCATTATCCACATAATATAACAGAGAAGGCCCAGAAACCAGACAACATTTTATAATTATTAATCCAAATGACACTGCCACTATTCTTCCTTTAATCCAACAATAATAATAAAAAACCTTCATCGTTTCACTAATATCAAAAATGCCCTCGGCACATTGAATCACATTCTCATACATTCATGTTTTGTGAGCAAAAACATAGGCTAGAATCAAATCAATACATATATATGAATTCAAAATTGAGAAATTATTTAGCATCAAAGTAGTTCACACTCAATGACTAATCTTAATTACAAAACATTATGAACTATAAATTATATATAGTACTGTTCACTTTACAGCAAACTGAACACCGTCATTGTATGAACTTCCAAAAAAACCCTAATGCATCATCACTGTTTTTAGTTGCTTTTTTTTTATTTTTTAAAATCTAAAAAATGATGCTTTTTGGTTATTGCTACAAAAATTGCAATTTTTTTTAGTGAAAAAAGTTGATATTTTTAGCTCAAGACAAACAATCAAGTGGAATTTTCATCTTGCAAACCTGCACAATCCCGGTGTGGTCTCTGAGGTTGAGGAAAGTGAGACCACCATGAATCCGGTGAAGCGCGACCCACCCGCAAAGCCTGACCCGTTTACCGACGTCGTTTTCAGACAATTCACCACAAAACCCGGTTCTGCTGACCCATTCAAGAGAGTCTTTGAAGGGTATTGCAGGCTGTTTAGGGTTAGAAATTAGGGTTTCTGATGAAGTAGATGGAGTTGCTGAAGCAGAAACGGAGTGAGTGGTTCTACTTGGATATTTTCTGGGTTGAGTGAGTGTTTGCGAGTTAAGGTACAAGAGGGGGATAGATGAAAGAGAAAGGGGTTTGGAACGTAGGGCTATAGTGGGCAGAGCTCGGAGAAACATGGACATGGTGATTCTTGGGTTTGTGGAGAGAGAGACCGAGAAGTGGCAAGGTCGATGGTGAGAGAGGCCTATCTGAGGGCTCTAGGATTGAGCCAGAATAGACTGCGTACAAGCAAAGCGGCGCGAACCGGCCTAATTCGGTTTATTAAAAACCACCCCGAAATAAAAAATCTAAATTTAATACACTATTATAATATAAATTTTGTTAGTAATTTATTACTCAGATGTTATAAATCAATTATCTAAGCATCCAATCGAAAAATATTGGAAGGAACTAATATTTCGAAATAGTATATCGGGCTTGGGTAACTTGTTCTTTCTAAGTATTAGTATATTGAGCTTGGGTAGCTTGTTCTTTCTAAGTATTTCGGTATTGATGTAATTTAAAAAACCAAATATTTATGGGTTCAATACAAAAATTGTTATGGATTGAATTATAATAAAAGACAAATTATACTAACAGTCCCTATAGTTTAGGATTTGTGTCACTTTAGTTCTTGACTTTTAAATTACGACACATTTGTCCCTTAATTTTAAATCTTGTTTCAAATAAGGACAATTAACATACCATTGCTTAATTTCAAAGAAAAAATCGTCAATTTGATAAAATATAAACTAATTTGACAAAAATAAATGTCAAAAAAATATTTTAAAAATTTTAAAAATTATTTCTACCTACTAAAAATAAAATTATGTAAAATTGATAAAAATTAATAAAAATTACATGATTAATTTTTAAAATTTAATTTTACATTATCATCATACAAATACATAATAAAAATTAATTTGGTAAAAAAAAAATGTCTAAAAGATTTATCAATTTTATATATTTTTATCTTCAGTAGGTAGAAATAATTTTTAAAAATTCAAAAATAATTTTTAAAAATTCAAAAATAATTTTTCAACATTTATTTTTGTCAAATTAATTTATGTTTTATCAAATTGACGATTTTGCCCTTGAAAAATCCAATAATATATTCAATTGTCCTTGTTCTAAAAATTCAGGGTCAAATGTGTTACAATTGAAACGTCAGGGACCAAAATGACACAAGTCCCAAACTATAGGGACCGTTAGTATAATTCACCCTATAATAAATTTTGTAAGTCAAAAAATGAAGATAAGTTTATATGTAATATAAAAAATAATGTGTTTGGTTGTGTTTTGAAAACGTGATTCTACACTTACATTTAAATATGATGTTTGGAACGAATTTTGGAATTATATTTCCAAAACTCTGCAGAGAACTCTGTCTCAGGCGCGGTTTTTAGAATTTTTTTTTTGCAAATTTTGCCTAACCGGTCGTCCCACCGGTTGACCGGAATAGTGTTTTTTTTTTTTTTTTTTTTTTTGCAATTGATATGTTAATTTTTATATATTCGAAAACAACATTTTCTGAATTTTAAAAAAAAAATTATGTGCTTTAAAATAATTATGAGTTGTGTGTTTGATTATGAGTTGTAAATTTTTGTATCAAATATCAAATGTCACATCAACAATACCCCACTCAATTCAAAACTCTTTTCAAAACTCTTTACCAAATAAATTTTCCACGCTCAAATCATAATTTCAAACCTCACAAACTCAAAATACAAACTTATACTCTCAAATCATAGTTACAAAACTCTACCAAACGCAACCAAATTACTCGACCTTTACTTTTGTTAAACTCATTATAAACTTATTTAAAATCAATTTGTTGCGTAAATAACACAGTTTTTTTTTTTTTTTTACAACGAAAATAAAAAATAACAAAGAGACTAAGGCCTCGTTTGAGAACAGGTTATTTTAGTAATTTTTTGACTTTTTGGCTAAAATATGAGGTAAAAAAAACTAGTATGTTTTTTGTGATTTTTTAGTTTTTTACGAAAAGATGTACAAAAAATAGAGAGAAAAGAAAATTTTTGACTTTTTGTATAGGTTATAGGCTTTTTGGTATAGGTTATAGGCTTTTTGACTTTTTTAGTAACTTTTTTACTTTTTAGCTAAAATGTTAACTTGCCAAACGAGGCCTAAGCTCGTTCCTTAGATATATCCCTACCATGTTTGCAACAAGGAGACTTCTAATTTCAATTGGTGGTTCATTCACCACCATTATATCTTTAATTTGTTCTGCTCCAAACTTGACTAAAGCATCAACACATAGGTTTCCTATTTTCCAAACATGTTAAAGAGTACACTTACATCCTCTAAGCAAGATCTTGGCATCTTCCGCCAAGTTCTTAAAAGGGCATTTATCCCCTATTTATTCCGCCATCAATTGCACTACCTGAGCTACATCTGTTTTAATGATCACACTATTTAAGCCTTTTTGAAGTATGACTGTTAGGCTCTTATACAGTGCCCATAGCCCAACTTCAAGGCTGGTTCCTTGTTGTAATCTGCCATAGTATCCATACACCATTACTTCTCTTTCATCTCAGATCAACTCTCAAAATCCTTATCATCCTCCTACTTTCCTACTACCATCTATGTTGAGTTTTAGGGTATGCTTGGTTTGGCTTTGAGAGAGTAGTTTTTAAAAATTATTTTGGAGAGAGAGTTTAGAATTTTTTTTGGTTTGTTTGGTTGTGTATTTTAAAAGTAGTTTTGGAGTTCGGAAGTTTGGAATGGATTTGATGTTTTGTTGTAATTGAGTAGATGTGCGTAAAAGAAAAAATGATTGAGAATGAGAGAGGAGAGAGAAAAAGTGATTGATTAATGTGTAAGAGAGAGAAAGTAAATTTGAAAATTATTTTGGAAAAATTACAAACCAAACAAGTTTTTTAATTTTTTTTTTTCTCAAAATCACTCTACAAAGCCAAACCAAACATACCCTTAGTCTTCTTGCAGGTGGTAAACTACAAGTGATTAGTCTATAAGAAAGTCTGGAGATAGGTACAGTGTAAAGGAAAGCTTGATGGATTTCCCTAGAGTAATCCAAAATGAATTTGGCACTCTATTTGTTACTCATAGATTTTCCTCTGACATAAAATCATTTATGTTTTTCCAATTTTTCCATAAAGCAACAACAAAATAGTATACCGAGAGAAATCATCATTAAAGTGTTTCTTACATTTAGCATTACTCTTGATCCAAACTGAGAGGGTAAAAAGCGTAAGTCTGGGCTGAGCTAGAACTGGGAAGAAGCGCGCTGAGCTATGGGCTGAGTAGAATGGGCTTCGCCACTGGGCTCTGTTAACCTGGTCATGGATGACTAAAGTTAGCTCGGTTTAGAGTATTCTAAACTGGGATATAAGGAGTTGCGTTATGCAAACAAGTTGATATTGAGCTAGGTAAAGCAAGGTAGAACCGAGCTAAGGAGAGTTCGGTGAAACTTGCCACGTTAGCATATGTTAGCCCGGTTGCTCTGTTATCAAACCGTGGTAAAACCATCTCACTTGGTTTAAGCAGTGAGGAGGGTGTTGAAGGATAAGCATTCTCTTTCAGGTGTGTGATTCCTAGGAAGACTCTACATTGAGGAATAAGAGTCCTACTAAGATTGTGCCAGGTAAAACCTACAAAAGCTCATAACATACCTATGTACAGGTAACACAACTTTCATTCTCGAATACACAGAGCTTTTGTCTATTTGACTATCTTGCTAACTTAGGCATCAGAGAGGTATTCGACACACACCCACCGGCAAGCTCACGTTTGTGTTTTCAGGGAGTAAAGCGATGACGTTTGGAGGAAACGCAAACTTGATCAACAGGATTATACGAGAAAATAATTTTGTGCTCGTACAATTGGTGCCGTCTATGGGAAGTTCACAAAGAACAAAACCTCTTGATCAAGCTTTCCTCTCTAGTTAGAAGCAATGGTGCACAATGAAGACTTGCCGCAATCAGCTATTGTTGGGCAAACCCCGGAGGGAGGTGGAAGGCGCGAAGGTTTGCCTTTTATCCCTCTCATGGTAGATTTAGAACCCCAGCGACGGAACTCCCGGAGGAACGCAATGGAGAGACGGGGCACTAGCCCCCGTCGCTTTCAAAGTCCTGATAGACAGAGGCGGAGGCTGGATCCTCAAGTTCTAGAGGATCGCATGAGGGAGCAGGACAAGTTAATTAGGAAGATGACGGCAGACATGGAGACAATGAAGCGCCAGATAAAAGGAAAATGGGTGGTAACAGGAGAGGGGCACAAAGGCAACACGCTCCCTCGCCACTTGGAGGATCGTGATAGGCATACCACACCATCACAAGCACAAAACAGGAGCCTTAGAACAGGCGACACTCAATCAAGGACTTCCAAGACTCGTCACTTCAGGTTTGAGAGAACGAGGACTGAAAAGTCTTATATAGAGAGAAGCAACTATTACCCCTCGCACACGCACCAGACGACATCCAAGCACACGGAGTTGCCTAGGTCAGCGGACTTACAGTCGGTACTCGAGGAAAGGGCCTGACGGAAGGAGGACTCCAGGGCCCGTGACCCCCGCAGGATTTTGGCTCTACATCGATTGGCCCCTAGGACACATGGAAGTATTGAAGTAGGGATGCCAATGTCACGTCTTGCTTACGAACCAACGGATAAGGTATTAGCAAGCTTGCAGAGCTCGCCGTTCGTTTTGGTAATAGAGAATGCACCACTACCTTCGGGCTTCCACCAGCCCAAATTCACCACTTATGAGGGGAAGACAGACCCCTACATGCACTTTCGCCACTTTCATCAGGTTATGGTAGTGTACTGGCAGAATGAGGTCCTGATGTGTATCCTGTTCCCATCCAGCCTTGGCGACCTAGGTCTAACCTGGTTCGAAAGGCTACCAGAAAGCAGCATCGCCTCCTGGACACAATTGGCAAAGGCGTTCGTGACTAGGTTCAGAACGAACACCAAGACACCAGTGGAGATCGATCAGTTACTCTCTATTGACATGGGCGACAAGGAGACGTTGAGATCCTATAACGGTTGGTATTGGGAGACTTTCAACCAGATAGGAGATTGCCCCACAAATCTCGTCATCGCGCAATACAAAAGGGGTCTACCAGTTAGAAACAAGTTGAGGGACTCAATTACTATGACGCCACCCCTCACGATTGAGGCCCTAATGGAGAGGGTGCACCAACATATCCGCGTAGAGAAAGATAGCGCCCAGGCTAAAGCAAAATCTGGCTCAACAGTAATGCCAGACAAAAAGACTGCAGCAAAAGTCAACACAGTAAAACAACCAAACAGGAATGGACGAAGCAGGCGAGCCTACAGGGAGGACCCAGAAAAAAAGAGGTTAAGAGTTCGCACTGCCATCACCACCGTGTTCAATAAACCCATCTACCAAATTCTCAACAAGATAAAGAATGAACCCTTCGTTCGGCAGCCAGCCAAGTTGGGAATAGCACAAAGGGGCTACGACGAGAGGTCTCGCTGTACCTTCCATGATGAGAAGGGGCATTTAACTGAAAATTGCGCACCCTTGAGGCAACATCTGGAAGAATTAGTAGCTGCTGGTCACCTAGACCAGTATATTGAAGGGGGAACACAGCCAGCCCCCCAGGGCCTCAACGGGCCAAACGGGATGTCGGTGAACGGACCACCCTAAGGCGTAATCAATGTTATTCATGGGATCATTGAACCTGAGCGGGTATATGAACTCAGGGGGATGATAAAGAAGGCAGAGCACTTGAAAGAGGTACTAAGTGCACAACCCGTCATCAAAAAGGGCAAAACAGAGGCTACGAACGTCATATCCTTCTCAGACAAGGACCTAGCAAGGCTACATTGCCCTCACAATGACGCACTGGTGGTAACTTTACGTGTCAAGAACTTCGACATCAAGCGAATCCTGATTGACCAAGGAAGTTCGTGCGAGATAATGTATTATGAAACCTTCAAACAGCTGAAACTAGTGGACAAAGATTTGGCCCCTGCAACATCCCCCCTAGTTGGCTTTAACTCAATGCCAGAATCGCCAATAGGCAAGATAGTCCTCCCAGTCAAAGCTGGAACCATGACTAAACAAGTGGAATTCTGGGTATTGAAGGTCCCTTCCACGTACAACATAATCCTGAGAAAAATATGGCTGCACGCCATGCGATCGGTAGCGTCAACCTACCATTAAGCACTGCGGTTCCCCAACGAAGCCGGAGTAATTGAAGAGGTCTTGGGAGACCAAATCATGTCAAAACAATGTTTCGTCACAGTAAATGGCAACCGGGCTGCAAAAGGATATGTACAGATGATAGAAGAGCCAGAGAGCAATAAACTATTTGCGGATGTTGACAAGGCAGCAGAACAAAAGGCAGTGGAAGACTTGGTAGAGGTAAAGAAAGATGAAAAGAACCCAAAAAAGTTCTTTTTGCTCGGCTTGTCTTGTCTTTGTCCAGCACTGAGAGAATAAAGATCATAGAATTCTTAACCTCTAATATCGAAGTGTTTGCATAGACACCATATGACATGCCTATCATTGACCCAAACTTCATCTGTCACCAACTAAATGTCCACCCGACTGCTAGACCAATTGTACAGCATACTCGCAGATCAGCACTCCACCACGCGGAGATAGTGGCGGAGGAAATGGGAAACTTGCTGGAGGCAGGAGCCATCAGAGAAGTACACTATCCCAGGTGGATATCCAATACTGTAGTAGTTCCAAAGAATAATGGAAAATTGCGTGTTTGCGTGGACTAAAAAACAGTCAACAAGGCATACCCAAAGGATAGCTTTCCCTTACCCAGGATAGACTAACTGGTAGACTTTGCGGCAGGGCACAATCGACTTAGCTTCCTTGATGCGTATAGAGGTTACCATCAGATCGCTATGTATGAGCCAGACCAGGAGGTCACATCTTTTACAACGCCCAAAGGATTGTATTGTTACAAGGTCATGCCCTTTGGCCTAAAATATGCAGGGGCCACATTCCAACGGATGGTCACCAAAATGTTTGAACCATTATTAGGCAAAACAATGGAGGCTTACATAGATGACATGGTGGTTAAAAGCAAGGATGAAAAAGACCATCTCAGGGACCTAGACGGAATGTTCCAAATCCTAAAAAAGAACAAGTTGCGTCTAAATGCATCTAAGTGTGCGTTTGGTGTAGGATTAGACAAATTCCTAGGCTTCCTGGTGACCAACCGCGGTATAGAAAGCAGACCTCTCTCAGATCAAAGCAATCCAGGATCTAGAGAGGCCTAACACAGTAAAAGAGGTGCAACATCTCACTGGCCTAGCTGCCACACTCAACCGGTTCATAAGTCGGTCATCAGACAGATGTCAACCATTCTTTCAAGCGTTGAAGGCCAAATTTGAGTGGGATGAAGAATGCGATCGCGCCCTATAGAGCCTGAAAGACTACATGACTTCTCCTCCATTGCTAGTAACCCCAGTACCTGGAGAAGAACTCTTTTTGTACTTAGCAGTTTCACAGCATGCAGTCAGCGCAGTGTTGGTCAGAGCGGAAGGAATCCAACACATGCCTATTTTTTATGTTAGCAAGACCTTGCTGGGGGCAGAAACCAGGTACCTACAATTGGAAAAACTGGCCTTAGCTTTGATGATGGCCTCAAATAAGTTATCACATTATTTCCACGCCCACACCATAATCGTCCTGACAGTTTTTCCCTTAAAAGCTTTGTTTGAGAGGGTGGACTTTTCTGGACGAATCTTAAAATAGGTGGTGAAATTAGGACAGTTCGACATCAAGTTTCAACCCAGAACCGCAATAAAAGCCCAAGCTCTGGCAGACTTTATGGTTGAGTTCACACTAGAAAGCCATCACATCTGCACAGTTGACTTAACTGATACAACCGAAAAGGGGATGGAAAGTGCCGCAGGAATTACACAACCCCCAAAACAAGATGCCCAGCCACATCCCAAGGCATACCGGATTGAAGAAATGGAGGAAGAGGCAAACCGTGCTATACCCGGCAAAGACTCATCAACAAGTGAAAACTTGGTACAGTCAGATAGTGAAGAGCAAACCCCAACAGTAGGCATAAACTTGGAAGAAAACATCAGCAACACTCATGATCCCAAGATATCATCCGACCCCTCCACTTTCTGGAAGCTATTCGTTGGAGAGATGTGGAAGCTCTTCATGGATGGAGCATCCAATAGGCACGGTGTAGGACTTGGCATAGTCCTTATCTCACCAGATGGCCTGATAGTGGAACAAGCAGTCAACCTTGGCTTCCCAGCATCAAACAATGAGGCAGAGTACAAAACACTTCTAGCAGGCCTAAAATCATCACTCTTCATGAAGGCCACTGAACTAATGGTTTATAGTGACTCCTAGCTGGTAATAAACCAGATTTCAGGCGACTACGAGGCAAAAGATTAGAGAATGGCTAAGTACCAAGAGTTAGTCAGAAAAGAGATCATGAAGTTCGAAGTAGTACGAATAGAGCAGATCGGCCGAGACAAAAACAACAGAGCAGACGAACTGGCAGGTTTTGCCTGTATGGCAGACACATCTATCCCACATCCATTACTGATCGACTTTTTACCCAGACCAAGTATTGAAGAACCCAAAGTAATAGAGGTATGTTGTGCCAAACTAGGCCCTTCAGGGATGGATCCCATTATTGTATTCTTAAAAGACGACATCTTACATGAAGAGAAGAAAAAGGCCAACAAGATCAGAGCAAAGTCACAGCGATTTTGGCTCTCTCCGTTATTGGCGTTATACAAAAAATCCTTCATAGGACCTTACTTGAAATGTGTCCATCCTAGCTTATATTGGCTATTTGAAATGTTTGGATATAGTTGAACCCTATCATCCTGAAAAGGTTCTTAAACAGTTTGGTAAGGTTCAGACCATCCCACCTGCGCCACTCGACCCTGTTCGTGCTATTAGAGGTGTCACAGCAGGCCAATATAGAGTGATGTATTAGTATCTTGATCAGATATGAGAGGGTTGGGATAATCATGTTTTATTTGCTCAGAGAAGAAGTACCCAGTCAGACGTCCAGCTGATTATGTTGATGGTTACATGTCGTGGTATACAAGCATTACACACTTATATATCCAGAACCTCACACATCGGTCTGGTCTTGACCCACGTGCACAGGATAGTCGATCTGATGTGTAGGATGCTGAAATATGACAATATTGCGCACACATCGTTTACATTTTTTTTGAAGATTGCACGTGTTAATTACAAATGTATTTGTTCTTAATGCAGCGTATTGATCACGCATTACGGATTGCACATCTTATCATTGAGGCGGGCTATGATGCTAGTGTTCGTGAGCCATATAGGTTAAATGAGGCCATTGAGAGGATAGCATGTGTTCTTCAGGATCAACAAATCGATGAGGCTTGACCTAGTTCTATTCTATTTCAAACGTACAATCGTAACAGGCGAGTAGACGATAGGTAGTTGGTTATGTGGTAATCTTGTTTTGTTATTTTGTAATGGAAAAGAAGTACTCTTTTGATGTTTTTGTTGTTTTGTAATGAACAATAATTACTCCACTAATATTTTGTAATGAACAAGTATTCATGGCTTGTATTTTTGGTAATGAACAGGAAGTATTATGCCAATGCGTTTGATACACCGCAATGAACAAGTAGTATCATGTGGATTAAATTAACTCAAAGCTTAATCCAACTCAACTATTTAATTGTTGATCATTAAAAAAATGTATTAGTAACTATTTGAATTGCATAACTATAACTCAACTCAACTCACATACATCATTACTCATCAAGGTTAATACAATCAAATGTCTCTCTAGTAGCTACCCCTGAATGAACAACTTCTTTAAAATGCTTAATTCGGCGACTATATGCAGTACCCCATCCAGCCGAACAAGAATGATGAAACTTGCACCAATTGGTAGCTATCGGTGGAACTGGATGACCCGGTAACATGAACACCTACATTGACAAAGCTTTTAAGTATGAGAGCGATGTAATACAAAATGATAAATGTATTACACAAATCATAATGCTATACCTAGACAAAATGATTCCCATTAACAAACCCAATAGCAATCTCACGCCGTTGAACTTGTGATATTGGCACTGATCGTAGGGGAAGAAATGTAAGGCATTGTTGTGCAGATAAGTGGTACAATACCACATTATAACAAGATGCAATAAGATGACCTATGTCGGGCATAGTCATCCAATGGTGATACCCTAGATTGGGCTCAAAGTATGATAGAATATGGGTCAGCTCTTCAATCATGTCATGTGAACCATATAGATGAGTGTAATGGTCTATGTGTGTGCAATTCCTGTAGGAGATCACGCCTGACTTGATCCCATTTGGCCTCTGTAAGCCCCATCAAGCCAGCAATGGCCCTAAATCCACAATTGCCATCGTCATCTACATCCTTGATAAGACGTATGTACGGTTTCAATCCAATTGGGAGGGCATCAACATATGAATAAGTCGTAATTATACGAGTCTGATATGCCTATTTAACAGGGAAGACATCAACACATGAACAACAAAACACGTAATTTATTATCAACAAAAATGTAAGTAAAAAATGATTACATGTACCTTCTCTTCGGCAGGCTGTTTTTTATGTACTTTGACAGAATCCCTGTGTGGGGATTTGGGTGCCCATAGGTGAGTGGCTATCATGTCCAAACTGAACCAACTTAAATGCACATGAGTCTCGATGTGTAGATACATCTATCTTCTTATGTCCCTTACCTCGAGGGTTGGGCTTCACATCCGGCTCAATGAGAAAACTACTTTGCAGATTTGCAATCTCTCATAACTTATGCAGAATTTCCAACTACATAGTGTAATCAGATGTATTGAATTACTTAAGTATGAGATCAAACTTTGGTTCACAACTCAATTCCATTTTATCATTCTTCAACTTTTGTACTAGCTCAAGAGTCCTCCAATGTGGGTTAATGCTATCAAGTGGTATTGGACGACCCTATGGGACGTAATCTGCAATCTCATGGGCACAAGGTAACCCGTGTGTTCATCGAACAACACATCCACATTCTGAAGCATCAATGCCAACATCATTCACTCGCTTACTCTTCGCTAAGACATGATCTAATGCAGAAATAGAGATATTACCTCGGAGCTCTCTAAAATGGGATGGTTTGAACTAGTGTTGTACAACGGTTAAACTCTTCTTAAACGATGCCTTAATACCAACATGCTACAACTTAAGCAAACTATGGATCTTGGTCCAAGAACACTCAAAATTGACTTAGTTAGAACCAAGTTGCCGTTTAAGTTTTGCATGTGCACTTTCAACCCTGTGTACAATGGAAACAATTAACATAATTAAGTTTAAATAATCAAAATCATAATGACTAATAGTGCAAGGTAGACAAATATATATTACCTGTTGGTTGAAACATTCCCGAAGTGCATACAACTATCTGTCCATATAACAACAAACTTATCCTTATATGGAATTAACCAACTTTGTGACACACATTGCACTGTCTCAGGATATGTATCAAAATTCGCAAGTAGCCTAGCAAGGTGTTCATTGTATTTAAGCTCAGCTGAGGAGAGTACTAAGAAATTCCATAAGGAGATAAACTTGTCCCATTCCTCCTTACTCTTTAACATTTTCTTGCATTTCACCAGTACATTTCTACTAATATGCCATCGGCATAATAAATGTCGAGATGTAGAAAATACCTTGTCAATAGCATTCATCAAAGCAAGCTCCTTGTCCGTGACAATCACCTCAGGAATAGCAATGTCTTCCAAGAGACTATGCAATGTAGTTAACACCCAAACATAGTTATCAATCCGCTCAAATTGGAGATATGCAAAGGCTACGGAGAATGACATATCAGTGGATGTCACACCAACTATCTCAAGAAGAGGAAGACGACATCGATTTGTCTTATATGTGCAGTCCACGATCAACACCTTTGGAAATGAACGGAGCAAATCTAAACTGATAGGATGTGCCTAAAACAAGTATGTGACAATCATCGTGTTGTTGTCACACCTATGCCGCTTAATGTAATTATGCTTTTGTAATTCACCCAACAACTGTTATGTTTGTGATCTCCCAGCTTTCTTAATAACATTATTTCTATGATGTACATTATAAATGGTTTTCATAGTGGTTACATTCAAAGCATCATTTTGTTTCAAGAAAAACAAAATCTCTTTTGGTCTGACCATATTTTTGGACATATCCACTAATAATGATGTTTCTTCCTCAGATAATCTCTCTGCAAATGAATGTCCTTCAAAATGTTTAGCAAGAGCATGGTTATGCATTCCACATGCTACATGTACTATCCAATCATCATCAGCCATCAACTTATGAGCTCTCAACTCAAAGGGACACCCGCATTTCTTTGTACTCGTTATCTTCACAATTTTTTTGTTTGAATCATCTCCTTTTAATTTCTTATGAGCTCTATATTGACCACTTCTCTCACAAGCAAGATATATCATTGGTGTCTTATGACCACCACCACAGTTCGATGTCTTGATGACAATCACAAACCTATTTTTCCTTTCAACGTCTCGTACCCAATTGAGCAATTCTTCTTTGCTCTTAAAAATCTACAAGTCAAATTCACCAAAGTCATTAAACATGCAAAAAGAAAAAGAAAAAAAAAAATACTAATTTTTGATATGAGACTGCCTCATTAGTAATAAATTGACTTGTGTAGTCAACAAGACCCTAGATCCAACATTATTGCATTCCATGGATGCACAGTTCTGGAAAAAAAAAAATAAAAAAAAAATTATAAGTGTTCGGTAGTACCGAGTCGAATTAAGTGAAACTGTTCAACTTTTTCTAACCGCACATATGGTGTTTGTTCGATACTTACAAATCGAATAATTGGATGAGGTTCGACACTATGAAACTGAATAGGTACAATTTGTTCGATTGTAGGTAGTCGAATATTGATATATTATTCGACTCTGGATAATCGAACTAATACAAACAGTTTGCTACTCAGCAAGTAAACGAAAACGGAGAAAAAAAGAAAAAAAAAAAGAAAAAAAAACTTTTCCTTGCTCCTTTGTTCCGAATCAATATTGTCAAATGTATCCTTCATTGAATCCAATTAAAATCTTCAATAATATGTATATTTTTAGTTATTTCTTTAAGGGTTTTTAGTTTTATTTTAAAATTTTTGAATTCTTAATAGACAAGATACATAAGTAACAAGTTTAAAATTGTTGATGTACATTATATTCATTAGTGCATTTTATGATAATTATACGAATTATGCGCGTCACAGCTTATCCTTTGTAATTCTTTTACTTAAGATTAAAATTATAATAAAAAATAATTTAATTAATAATGTACCAGGTGATGTGTAAATAGAATCTCTCCGTCACCGCAGGTCAGATTAAAACTCAGGGCCCAAGAAAGTTTCACTTCCTATCGCGGGGAAAAAGCGACGAAAGTTTCACTTGCCAGCACCGTCTCTGTCTCTCATCTTTGAATTGCTTTATTCCTCTCCAAACCCTAATTATAAATGAATCAATCGAAAAGCCTGTTTCATACTCCCCCACTTGTTTCTTCTTCTTCTTCTCCGAAATTCACACTGAACATTCTTCGCACCTGCTCACCCACACTGCTCTCTTCTCTTCCTCATCAAAACCCTAACCTTTCGACCAATCAGTCTTTGAATTTAGACTGCAATCGGTGTCACAGTTTATAGTTTCGGTTTAATTGGAGACCAAGATTGTGAAAAAGACTCGGATATCGTTGTGATCGGGGGCTGAAAATGAAGAGACTGAGTGAAGAAGCCGGTGCTGCTGATGATGGGAATTCAAATTCTGAGGACAAGATACCGAGGCAGAAGAAGAAAGTTAGGGTTTTGGATCCAATTGGCGAGGAATTTGGCTGTTCAGAAGAACCGGGTATGGAAATTAAACGTCAAGAAAATCAGGGAACTGGGTCTCAGGTAATTTGTGTCCAACAATCTTCTTCTGTAGTCGAGGGAATCAGGGCTTTTTTCACAATTGATCTTAGTGATTCAGAAGAGCCGGATAGGGGAATTGAAGGTTGCCAAAAAAATCATCACATAATTGATGTAGAAGAATTCTTTTTAGAGGAAGCTAGGGTTTTGAGAGGAAGTGAAGGTTGTGGAAATGGGGATAGAGGGGAAGAAGAGATTGATAAGGGTGATCATGGCAGGGATTTGGGGAATATGGGGCCTATTACTGCTTGTGGTAATTCGAATCGGAATTGTGAATCGATCATGATGGTTGATCATGGCACGGGGAAGGAAAATTCAAGTTGGGATTTAAATTTGGGACAAATGGAATTTGACCTTAATTTGCCAGCTATGGAGGCAGACGAGGGAGGAAGTGAAAGAGGATTACACGAACATAGTCAATTAGGACCCGTAATAGCTCAAAGGGTGGATATCATTCACATTTCATCTGATGAGAGCGAGGATGAGGATCAAAAACTTCCTGACGAAAGAGATACAAGAAGAAAAGGTAAGGAAATTGACGAAGGATTTGCTGATGAAAGTAATGGAAGTATTCATATGGATTCGGTAACATTGGAATTAGGAACAAGTTCTGATGGATGTGTTTCAATGAGTAGTGGAAAGAGATATACCAGAGAAGAAAAGGGGAAAGGTAAACTTGTTGACCCCTGGTTATCACTTGCCCCAAATCTCATCCCCTTCGATTCGAGACCTGGAGGGCAGGAGTTGATCAGATCAGCAGATTCTGGTGGTATCCAGCTAAATGAAACTAACCATCCAGAGGAAACTATCCAGCTACGGGGAACTGAAAATTTGGAATTCAGAAGGGAGCCCGAAAGAAGAATTGTGAGGGCGCCTCAAATATTAAATCAAAGGGCAGATGCAAATAGATACCGTGAAATTGCTCGTCATCATGCTTCTCGGCTTGCAGTTCCTAATTCTCAGCAGGAGGATCCCCAGGAGTCTTTTAACAAAGAAATGCAAATGCAGCCCATAGAAGCTGGTAAAAAATTCGAGAACTTTCTGGGTCCCTTTTATACTGAGATGAAGCTAATTAAAGAGCGAAATATGAAGCATAGTCCTCAAAAACTGATCATTTGGAAGCCCTCAAAAGATCGTGACCGTAACATTTCCATGCCATTAGTTCCTTTGCTGTTGGATCTGTCATTGGAAGTCCTTGCTAAGAATGCTGAGGCTATAGTTTCTCTTGAACATATACCAGATGCTCTGAAGCATAGACTCACTGATTTGCTCTGTGATTCGCGTAAAATGAATATCCATGCCTTGGACCTCCTTGTGCAAGGGTCTCCAACTGAGATACGCATAAAGGACTGTTCATGGATAACAGAAGAACAGTTTACCAAAAGATTTGGGAGTTTTGATCCTAAGAACTTGAAGGTAAACAGTTTTTCCTTCTCATTTGTTATCTATATACCTGTCTGTTTGGTTTTAGTAAAGTAGCATAAAGTAACAGAGTAGTAGTAGCCATATTTGCTAGCTTACTACTCATTTACATACAGTTTACGTTCAGGTGGATTATATTTCTAATTTGAATGACTCATGCACAGCCAAGAGGGTTGGTCACTTGGCACCTCAAGTGCTTGGTTTGGCTCCCCCTGGCTGGCCACCTTATATAAATGGGACAACCATGCGCCATGCTCCTCTTATCATCCGCAATGGGAACTTTCTTAGCTATTATATTATATATAGCACTGCACGGTGATAGTCCTTTGGGTCTAACGTCAGGAGATGCGTCAAGGGCTCTTCCCCGTCCCCCTCTTCTGAATGTTTTTTGTAAGGATGGACATCAACTAGGCTGGGCTTAAGCGAGAAAAAAATCACGTGTCCAAACCCAACCCTACCAAACATTCGGCCTAAAAATCCCCTCCCAGGCTCGGCCCTAAAATTATATCACAATCCTAAGCCCACACAAAAAACCCATATATTAGATAAAAAAATAAATGTTAAGAAACTAAGCAATAATTTCGTAATTGAGTTAACACAAATACTTGGTATTTACTCGTTACATCCTAGGTTCAAACCTTAGTGGGTGCATTTTTTTTCTTAAGTGCATTTTCTTTATCTAAACAAAAGCGAAACAAAATAAATTATATATGGTCTGTGTATTCTATGCGCATGTTGTATATAATATATTTTATATGCCTTGTATATAATTTACTAATAGTTGGGCTTGATTGGACTAGGCCTCAAGGACTATTCCTAAGCTTGACACATTTGGTAAATGGGCTTAAAGATTTAGGGTAATTCTACGTACACCACAAAAAAAAAAAAAACCTACTCATTACTCCCTTTAATTTTTATTTTTTCTATCACTATTTTATCCTTTTGTGTAAAATTACCAATTGATCCCTAAACCCTAAAAATTGAACCACCAATTTCTTATCCCACCCATCACCCTTCACTCTCTCTCTCTCTCTCCTCTTAACCCACCTTTGGTAGCCCTCCCCCTATTGTTTCCCACCTCCGACAACTCTCTCCCAACCCCCAGCATTCTTTCCCCTACCTCCGGCAACCCCCCGCTACTTCTCCACCTCCCTAAAACCAAGGTTGTTAAGATCGGGATCCTACGCAGGATCGTTTTGGGGGTCTGCTGGATCGGATCGTAGGATCGGATTGAGAATCGTAAGATCCTATTAAAATGATAAAAGAAAGTAATAGGCTGTGTTTGGTTGTGTTTTCAAACCATGGTTCTACAGCTTGATTCAAGTATGATGTTTAGAACGTGTTCTGAAATCACGTTTCCAAAACTCAGCACAAAACACTCTGTCTCAGGCGCAGTTTTTGGAATTTTTTTTTTTAAATTTGACCTAACCAGTCGTCCCATCGGTTGACTAGAACAGTGAAATAATTTTTTTTTTTTCAATTGACATATGTTAATTTTTATATATTTGAAAAAAATATTTTTCAAATTTTTAAATATTTTTTATGTGTTTTAATAGAATTTTGAGTTGTATGTTTGGTTATGAGTTGTAAGTTTTTGTATCAAATATCATATGTCACATCAAAAATTCCCCACTCATTTAAAACTCTTTTCAAAACTCTTCACCAAACAAATTTTTCACACTCAAATCATAATTCTAAAACTCACAAACTCAAAATACAACTCATACTCTCAAATCATATTTACAAAACTTTACCTTTATATGACTAAGTAATACTATCAAAATGTATATAGAATAATCCCCCCCCAAAAAAGAAATATAGCAATTAAAGGTAGCATTCAAACATTTTTTCTCAGAAAAAATAAATAAATAACATAATAAAAGAAAATACCAACACTTGCACAACATTCTCATTGTTTCTTAATGAAAAGAAGACAACTTAAATAGGGGAAGAACAAATAAAATAAGTCATGATTGTCGCCAATATTATCATCATTGCTGCAATTATCATTAATGTCATTGCCACAATCATCATCATCACCCTCGGTGTCATCCAACTCCTCAATGTCCTCACCAATAGTAGCATTTTTAAAATTAAAAGAGCTTTTTTTCAGCATAAGTTCAGGGAAAAAGAACCAAAGTAGAAGAGGTGGAGAAAAAAAAAGCAGTACACAGCAAGAGGGAAAAAGAACAAAGAAGAACCAGGAAAAATGAACACCAAAGAGAGAGAGAGAGAGAGAGAGAGAGAGAGAGAGAGAGAGAGAGAGGAGCACCATTCTAGAGAAAAGAAGTCGAAGGAAGAAAAAAGGATGATTCGATTTGATTCAAATCGAACAGAGAGAATAAGAAGAATCAAACAGAGAGCAGAAGAATAAGAAGAATCAAACAGAGAGAAGAAGAAGCAGAAGCAGAAGAAGAAGAAGAAGAAGAAGATGAAGAGCAGCGAACAAGAAGAGCAACAGAAAAAAGAAAAAGAGAGGGAAGATTAGAATAGAAGAAGAAAAATAGTACATGGTTCTAGAAAATCTGAAGCTTTCCAATCTCTTTTTCCCTAACTTGTTTTGCCCTAATCGAATGTGTTCTTCAGCTTAGATAGTAATATTTTTATTTCTTCTCTTTTGATAAGGGTTATTTTGAGTTAAAGTTAGCAAAAAAGCCCTCTTAAACAGAATCGCAAAGAATCGCGATCCTAATACGATCCCAACGATCTCGTAACGATCCTGACGTAGGCCTGATCCAAAGTATGAGTCAGATCGAATTATATATATTGGATTGTAGGATCGTACAATCTTACGATCCGCATCGCGATCTTAACAACCTTGCCTAGAACTGCCACAATCCTTGACGACCCACCTCATTCCTCTGCGACCAGCGGCGACCAAATCTTCCTTCTTCTTCTCTTCCTTCTCCAAACCCTAGATTTAAAACTCTCTCTCTCTCTCTCTCTCTCTCTCTCTCTCTAGGTTGCAGGGATGGATTCACAATGACGGCGGCTGCAAAGGTTGGGTTCACGGGCTGTGGTGTATGGCTGCGGGATTTGGTTCGCGATGGGTGGTGATCGTGGTAACTGATGGTCGCAATGGATGGCCGGTGGCTACGGTTGTCGTGGCGGCGTTAAGGGAGATTGTGGTGATGGGAGTTGAGTTTCAGCGGTGGTGGCTGAAGGTGGAAACAACGGTGGGATGAAATTAGGGTTTCAAATGTGAATAGGTGTAAAAAGATGATGAATTGGTAAGGACGATGATATATTAGAAATTATGGATAGTGTAATGAGATGAAAGGTAGTGTAATAAGAAATAGGGTGTAAGGAGATAAATATGTGGTGTAGAATTACCCAAAGATTTAGCTTAGCTCTGGTCTACAAGCTTAAATATCAATCCCAAAGCCCTTAAAAAGTTGGCTCGGCAGGCCACCCCACCCTTATCTTTTTGAAGGACCATCGTTCTTAAAACCTTTCTCGGATTTACATTTTTTCCATTTTTGTTCCCGAGTCTATTTTTTCTGGTTTCGGAAGTGTAGTTGGAGTCGGGGTGGTCATGGGCTTGTTGAACTTGCAAAAATCTGGGTTGTAGCAAAACTACCTGTGTGGGGTTTGGTGCCGCACGTGCGGAAGTGGTGCCATGTGCAGGAGGGTGAGTCGCACGTGCAGGGAGGGGGAGCTTTAGGCGGTTGGTGACTGAAATAACCGCACGTGCAAGAGTGAGTGTCGTACGTGCAGGGAAGGTACTGCACGTGAGGAAACATGCCGAATGTCCGAAGTTTCTTCATTTTCTTCTCCTTGGGCTAAGTGTATTTCATTTTAACTCATATCTCTCTCTCTCTGTCTCTCTGTCTCTCTCTCTCTAAAAACCCACTTCCTCTACTTTCTCTCTACAAACACCCAACAACCACATTAAACGCTTCATTTCTTCAAATCCATTGAAGTTTTGACCCAAGTTCCTTCATCAAAGTTGGAGCTATGTTACTAGAAAACCTCATACCCTAGCGAATTACGTATTGGTATGCACGTTCCGAAACATGGTACACTTTCGTTCCAAAAAGATAAATTTAGTGATCCGAAACGATCTCAAAAGTTTTTTCCAATATATTTCTTTAAATGTTACCTGAGGAGGCAAAAAAATTAAATATATGAACTAAAATCTAAGGGGAGTTAACTTTTGACAAGACAAAGACATAAAAAATGGGTCATAATTTTAATAGAAATGATTTGTTACATGAAGGGAAAAAAAATTATTGGACACCTAATAGTTAAAAGAAAATTACTTTAGAAGTACCTTAAATTCTTAAGTGTAATATATATATAAGTTTACTCCAATCGTACCACATTTTAGAGCATGTGGGGTATCACGTTCCCGTTCCATGTACTAGAACGATTCACTTTCTAAGTAATAGAGTTGGAGAGTTGACCTAGGGCTACATTTTGTGCGGTGGAGATCGGGTTTCATCACTGATGATTTTTGGAGTTTTTCTCATCTTCCTTCTCCAAATCTTGAGGTAGGGATTTTCTTAGAATTATATATACCTTTTTGCAAGTCTATGGCTATTTTGATTTTGTTTGGAGTGTATTGATTTAGGGTTTCATTTTATGAGATTGTGTTTTGTTTAAAGAGGGGTTTTCTTAAATTTCTCACTAAATCCTTTAATTTATGAATTATGAGTATGTATTGGGAGTTCCATGAGCAAAAATCTTTCAAGTATAAGGAAACCCCTAACTTTTGCGAAAACCTTAGAGTTGAGGAAAATGAGGAAAATGTTGTATTGCAAAACATATATGAGTTGCATGATAGTTGGGATTTTTTAGAAGTGTTAAAGCTTTCTAAAGAGAAACACTATTTTTTTTTTTTTTTTTTTTTTTTTTTTTTTTGAAAAACCTAGATTTTGGAAATTTGGGAAAATTTAGGGATTTTGTGAGATCATGTAATGTTGAGATCCATTTTGAGAAATGATGAAGAAATTGTTATACTTATACCTATTGTTGAAATCCCTTGTAGAAGAGGAATTGATATTGAGAAAATAGTTAATTGAATATTGTTATACTTATCTTGAAAAGATGAAGATTGGAAAATGAACTTTCACATGTTGTTGTGTTGATTGAGATATTTATGGGATTGATGAATTTTGTTGTTGAGAAATTATATGGATAGCATGATTTTATATATGGTTGGACTATGAAAGGAAAATGAATAATGATTGTGAATATGGAATGGTATCAGATGTCGCATGAATATGAATTTTGGATATGATTTTGAGAAATTGAGAAATATGGATTATCGCATTTCACATTGAGTAAATGTTGAGAATTGTGGAAATTGTACAATGAAGCTATATATATATATAATTACATCTCATTTCATTCATTTGCATATCTTTGAATGTTGCTTACAGTAGCTATGTTTGGAAAATTGATTTATTGTTTGAGGAAAACAATTGTTGACTTTGGAAATGTTTTGAGTTATATGGTGGGAAATCCTGTTAGGGGGTGTAGTTTGAGAACTAAGTTGGCCTGCGTGTCCTTGGTATAAGACTAGAACACTTGCGTGCGGGTGCCTAAGTCCTCCGATTAGAAGTTGGTAAGGTAGGGTTTGGTAGTGCCTGATAAGCCTACTTGCAAACACTAGCCTTGGGGATTTGCCTGAATTGTATTTACCACCCCTTGTTGATAGATGGAAATCATTGGTTTGATTATATTTTCGAACAAGTACTGTGCATGAGATTTTCAAAAGAGAAACTATTTTGAGCATGGCATGGCATGTGCATCCATCTCATGAGACTGTATAAATTGTATATACTCTGTTAAAAATTCTCTACTGGGCTTTGTGCTCACCCCTAGTGGATTTGTTGCAGGAAAAGCTGTTGTGGTCCTGCCAAAGTAGATGTGTGGAGAATTGTTTTGGGAGCACAAGGCTCTTATCTCTTGTTGTTGTATTTTGTTAAGCTAATGGCTATTTTTGTATGGGTTAGAAAACCATTTACCTGTAACCGGGCTTAAGCCTCGGAATGTGTAGCCCGTAGGGGCATCACTTTGTTTTAATTTCTGTTGAATCCTTGTTACATGTTGTAAATTATTGTCTTAGAAGCTTTGAAAGCATAAAGGCATGTGGAACCTTTACATCTCTAACATAAGGATCTTGAATATGCATATATGATTTTTAAATTGTAAAGAATCCATAATTAATGAGGATTGAGGTTTATTGAGGAGTTAATCAGAGTTTTCTGAGGTCTATTTATTTTGGGGCGTTACACTAGGAAAGTATCAACTAATAATTTGCAATTTAGTATATACAAAGGTGGTGAAGAAATTTCTAAAACCGTGGTGTTTGCAAATTGCAAGTGATAGAGAAAAGAATAAAAACAAAAGATAAATGATAATGATCTGTGGGAATGCACTAAGGATGATAATAACAGGGAATCCCTTATTCGAGGTTTGTAGTTTGTTAGAATTTACCTACACCTACCACCACCTACTACCACACCTACTACACCTACCACCAATTTACCCTCACCTACTCCTCACCTACTACCCAAACCCTCTCCTATATAATGAGCTACTCTGCTTTGTAATATAACACATCAATGTATCAAAAAATATAACAATCAATATTACATAAATTTCAACTAAAGGTGGTGAAGAAATTTCTAAAACCGTAGTGTTTGCAAATTGCAAGTGATAGAGAAAAGAATAAAAACAAAAGATAAATGATAATGATCTGTGGGAATGCACTAAGGATGATAATAATGGGGAATCCCTTATTCGAGGTTTGTAGTTTAGGGCGAGGTCATTGGTTCCATTCAGTGTTTTCCATCTTGACTTGAAGAAGGCTATGCATTATTTGATGCAAGAGATGAAAGGCCTTTGATAGAGTTCATAAGTCAATTGGATGAGAGAGAGATGGTGCTTTGTCTATTTCATGTCTTAAGAGAAGAAAATCCTTTGGAAGAGAACATATTTTATGGAGGAAATATCATTTTGCCCCAAACTATCACTCAAAATCAATTCAACTTCTATTATTTTAATAATATCAATTTTACACTTAAACTATTTGATTTTAGATCAATTTTATCTCCGATGTTAACTGCCAGTTATAATCAAACATAAGTTGCTCACAGGGCACTAAAATTTCGTTTGAAATTTCATTGTATCCCCCAAATTATCTCCAAAATATCAATTAGACCCCCAAACTTCATTTTATTTAGGGGTCTAATTGATATTTTGGAGGTAATTTGGGAGGTAAAATGAAATTTCAAATGAAGTTTGGGTGCCACATCTGCAACTTCTGTTTGATTATAGACGACAATTGATGGACGAGGTAAAATTGATGCAAAATCGAATAGTTTCTATATAAAATTGATATTATTAAAAGAACAAAGGTTAAATTGATTTTTAAGTGATAGTTTGAGGGGCAAAATGATATTTTCTCAATTGTATGAGTACAAATTTTAGGAGCTAAAGCAAAAAATCCTATGGAGCTACCAATATTTGAATTGGAATATAAGAAATAGAAGATAAGACATGTTATTTAAGAAGTACGGACAATTGACACAACACGAACACACGGACAAATGTCCCACACCCTTGTCCGAGTGTTGGGTGTCCGACATAGGCATAACATATGTGTCGGATACTTTTCAACGGATACTTATTACATAACTATATATAACATTATTATTTTATGTACATATTGTTGTATAATTGTTATAAATGTCTTTTTGACATTTTAAGTTACATATAGCATCATTTTATCTCACATACTTAATTAAAAATATAAAAATATGACCATTCTTTTTGTTGAATCCGCATACCCTTAAATTTATGATTTGATAAGTCCAACCACTAGATACATAGCAACGGAGTCCATGTATCATAGATGCAACATAAACCTAGATTAAAGGTACTCTTTGTTCTTGTTGGTTACTTGGTCCTATCACTCAATTCAATTATAATTTATAATATATATATATAATTTTAATAAAAAAAAGTAGGGTATAGGTAGAATAATACAAGTTGCATGCCCTATTACCCTTTGGTCTTGTATTGTTGAAGAGTCCGATGAACGGGTTATGTATATATGCTTGACAGGTGTTTGGAACTTTGATAGGTTATTTCTATGTTTTCTTGTTTTTTTGGTGTGGTTTAGATGTGTGACTGTGCATGCATGTGCGTATCCATGAGTGCACGTACTTTTAAGGTGTAACTGTTAATCAGTCAACTTCATAACCTAGCTATTTTTGACAATTAAATTTGAACAATGGAGTGATACTTCAGAAAAATTTTAGCCTCGTGAAGTATCTTTTGTGCTTTTCCACACTTCTATATCTTTCCCTTTTGGCACATTACTGTACAGTACAAGTTTCATCTCACTTCGGATGTCTTTTTACATTTCTTTCAGTTGATTATTGTGTTCTGATCTAACTTAATGTTTCCTTTCGTTATGAAATCAGGTCCTACAACTAGACCTATGTGGGCAATGTTTGCTTGGTGGTAACTTGGTTAAAACCTTAGCTCGGTCTCCAAATAGCTTACCTGATTTAGCTATCATATCCCTGAAGGGTGCATGTCGTTTAACTGATATTGCGCTAAAAGAACTTCTTGTGTCAGCACCTGCACTACAGTCCATAAATTTGAGCCAGTGCTCTCTTCTCTCTAATACTGGCATCGACATTCTAGCTGATTCTTTAGGAGCTATTTTGAAGGAGCTCTATATAGATAATTGCCAGCGAATAGATGCTATGCTTATTGCACCTGTAATGAAGAAATTTAAGCATTTGGAAGTGTTGTCAGTAGCAGGAATTCAGACTGTATGTGATGAATTTCTCACTGATATAATCCCTGTTTGCGGCCGAAATCTAAAGGAGCTTGATTTGGCTGGTTGTCTGTAAGTCTATTTGACCTGTTTCACTTTTCCTTTTTGGATAGATTTAGACTTGTTCTCCTTGTCGATTATAACTAACTTTCATATTTTTTGGTGATTTTAAATTTCTCCAATGATAGAGGCTCTTTTTAAATTGATGCAGGAAACTAACCGATATTTCTACAGAAGTCATTGGAAATACTTGTCCTGGAATGTGTTCCCTTAACATTTCGAACTTGCATAAATTGACGGATTTGTCGATGCAATATCTTGCCAATGGTTGTCAATCAATTCAAACACTCAAACTTCGCCAGAACAGTTTCAGGTTTCTCTCAATTGGTTTCTGTTTATTTCTCAGTTTCCAGCTTAATTAGTGAATAAAACTATATGCAGTATCATGTCATAGTCAGTCTATTGGTTATCATGTCATACAAGTAAGGCATCGGTTCATACAATGCCTCTAAAAAACGTTCTGGGATGCCTTGAGTTGTTATATGTTTTCTATATGTTTTATATTTTGTTGATGTGTTCTAATTTGAATTTTCTCCAATTTTATATAAGGGGTGTTTTGGTAATTTCAGAATTTGTTGGCGATTTGGCCCATGGATTGTAGTACAGGTCTCCTGCTATTGGATCTTTATATATGGTTTTTAGTTTGGTTATAAGCTTTTAGAAGTCAGATTTGTTGGTTTCGAATTTGGTGAGTCAATAGTCCTGACTGGTGTAGGAAGGGGCCATTGATTGGTGTGAGAATGCGGTTCATGTCTGATAGCAGCCACTTAATGTTGGATTGATATCTAGTCACTTAATTTCAGGGTCTAGCACTGGGGAATGAATGGCTAGTCTTTGTTAGTGTAGGGTTGTCCTAACATGTTCATGTAGCTATGTAATGTTTTTAACAAGTTCAAGAAATTTTTCCTGCAAGTATGCTTTCTAATCATTGCGTGATGCATTTCTAATCCTAAGTGTGATACAGATTCTAGGTGTGGTAGTTAAAATTTTCTTCTTCCTCTTCCTTTCCCCTGCCCCCCCGCGCTTTTAAGCCCATAGGTCTCCAAGAGGTCTCGTTTGGGAAGTAATAGTTTTAGTCTAAAAGGCAAAAAGTTACTAAAAAAATCACAAAGCTTATAACCTATACCAAAAAGTCAAAGATTTCCTTTTCTCTCTATTTTTTGCACATATTTTCGTAAAAAATCAAAAAGTCATTTCAAACATATAAGTTTTTTTATCTCATATTTTAGCCAAAAAGCTAAAAGTTACTAAGATAGCATGTTCCCAAACGAGACCAAGTCTTTCCCCTAACTATGGGCCCTTCCTCTAACATTAAAAACCCTAAACAATAGGTGCTCTCCATACACTACAACAACACTTTATTGAATTTCTTTTAACCTCTGAATCCTAGCACCCAAAATTTTGCAAAAACAGCCCCTTAATTACTGTTCATGGGTACTGCTTCCAAACCCATAAGGACCCAAACAATTTTCATTCATTATTGACGTAATTCTCCAAAATGTCCATGTAAACCCTTAAATCTTCATATTCTTACTGACCTTTGGCCACACAACTAATTATTGTCAGTGCTAGAAATGCGGATTTGCATTCCGTGAGACTCACATCATAGCATACCTTGTTGGGGAATGTAATCTGGACTGACCTACATTATCAGGGATGCTTCATGCTTGTCACACAATCACCTCACTCACATTTAAATGAAATTGAAGGGCTTACATGGAATGTACCATAGAGATTTTATTTTTTTGTTTATTTAATTATTATTTTAAGTTTTTATATTACTATATTTAGTATTTTATTTTAATTATAGTTTTAATTTGGTTAGGATTTTAATAATATTTGTTTCCCTAGTCTATTAGGATTAGTTTCCTAGTTTGTTTAGGTTTCTTGACTTACTGTTATTAGAGTATACATTGTATTATTTATAATTTGAGATATTAGGCTGTGGCCGTTTGTGTTAGGGCTGTGTCCGTCCCTCTTCTTCTTTGTCCCCTTCTCTCCTCTTTCTTTCTAGAAGGCATCCTACATCAAGGAGTGGTCTATGATTATGGTGCAGCTGTGTGGAATGCATCATTAACATTCCAATGAAACTAGAGAGATGGATGGTCAGCGTCTATTGTGCAGCCATTTGAAATGCAGGGCTGGGAAACTTGAGGACATATTGCTAGGGTTGCTAAGACGAGATGTTAAGATGAATAACTGAAAGGTTTGGATTAAATTTGTTAAAATGTGCACATAATGGAAATCCAAGAGTAGAATACTGAATTTTTTTTGTTTTTTTGTTTTTTTTTAATGGAATGTAAGAGATCTGCCACTTGTCATGCTTTAAGAGCATGACTGCCTTCTGACTTTACCACAAATAGTTGGAAGGAGGCACTGTGGATACTGAAGATGTATTACATTTGTTTCTACTGACAATGCTTCAGCTTTCTAGATTATAGGTCTTATCAGAAGTTGAAGTTATATTGAATAGCTGGTTGCAAGCTTGCTTATTATGAGTTCTTTTGTAATTTTTTCTTTCAGAATTTTTATTCTTCGGTTATGTGATTCTGCTGCAGATGGTGAATCTTGCCACCGGATTTTTTTTGTTCTTTTTTCTTTTTTTCATTAAGCCAGTGATCTAATTGCTGGAATTTTTTCACATGACAGTGATGAAGCTATTGCTGCATTCTTGGAAGCTTCTGGAAAGTCTCTAAAGGAACTTTCACTGAATAATGTCAGAAAGGTAGGAACAAACATGCTTTATCCGAATTTATTTGTGTTGTCTAGGGAAACCTGTCGTCAAGCAATATTGACCTCCAAGATATGTTACACTTGTCATGTTTCTCAGACCTGTTTATTCTTGCGTTTATTTGGGATGTGCTCCTCAATCTTGGTTTTAGCTTGTAATGTAAAAGGTGCATTTGCCCATTCCATTGTGTTTATAAAGTGCGAGTTAGTTTCTTTGTTCTGGCAATATGGTGTACAGGCTAGCAAATAATCATGTTTTCTAAATGTCTGTTTGGACTTTTAACCATTTTGCTCTCATCATCACTTCTTATATGTTGTGATGTAGCTCCAGCATCAGTTATGCTGGCTGGAGTTTAAATCTTGGAAACATGTAAGCCTGTAATAATAAGCCTGCTTTGGTTATTGTTCAAGACTAAAAATTGAGTATGGGTGCTGAACACATATCTCACACCCTTAGCCTTGCCATATCCGGTAGACACGGGTACTTTGGGTGAATTTCTCTAGTCCATGTAACACAGCTCTGTGAGGTTTAAACTGGCCCATCTTTTTTGTCATCACCATCAATGCAAGCAGATTAGGCTTCAATTCTGCTCCGTTCTTGAAATATCTTTCTTAAAATCAAGTATGATTGACATTAGACTATGAAGTGATAACTAGAGAAGCCAAAGAACATTTTCTTATAATGATATTGTATTATCTTGTGTTCCATGTCCTTTGTATTATTACAAAAAAATATAAAACAATCCTGTCAGAATTGTGCTGTCTAACAACTGTGGAATGAAAATTGAAAATGCCTATACAGGATCAAGAGCCATATGATTCTATGATTTTGATTGTAATACACATACATATTCATTTATTTGCATGTTGCTCATAATTAATGAGTAATAAGTAAACAGGTTGGCCCCAACACTGCCTTGTCGCTGGCCAAATGTTCGAAGGAGTTGTTGAGTTTGGATCTGTCATGGTGCCGTAAAATTACCAATGAAGCACTGGGATTGATTGTGGACAGCTGCTTGTCACTTAAGCTGCTCAAGATCTTTGGATGTACGCAGGTATGCATGTTCAACACCTATTATATACATTTGCAAGAAACGTAGGTATAGTATAAGCCTGCTCTGAACATTTTGTTTTGAACATGCTGTTGTATTTTTCTAGAGTTCTCCTGGTTTCAGTAATATCTACACTGAGCCTTGCAGCTTCTTGATATTCTTAAATGATTTACTCCGCTACATCGCAGCACAATCATGCATGCTGACAATATGATATCTTTAGTATGGAGACACCCCTAGATGTTGATACTATCAAGATCTCATTTAAGAAAATATTTGTTTAAAGTAGTCTTGCATTATTAGTATTCAAGTTATAGATTATTGAAGTTTTAGTCTTTTGACTTGCATCTCATGCAACAGATAGCTTAATATTTTTCTTTCTATTTTCATTTACTTATAACCAAACCAAACTAAGCCTTGTATTTGTTAAAAAAAAAAAAAAAAACTAAGCCTTGTATCTCACTCAAGTGGGATCACCTCATGAATCATTTTTTGCCATTCTGCTCTGTCAAGAGTCCTGCTCAGTTGAATTAGATAGATTCATATTTTGTTTTTTTACTACTTCATCTGATGTGAATTTAGATCTCCCCCGCCTTTAACATTTCTACTTATGGTGATTATATTGCTCTTCATTACCATTGCATCTACTGGTCTTCATGGTACATGACAAAACCTTCTTTTATCTTGTTCTCTCAACTTATCTTCAATTACCATTTCATGAATATATTCTTTTCTAATCCTATCTTTCTTAGTCTTATCAGACATCTATTTACGCATTCTCATATCAGCTACACTCCCACCATTCTCTCCCATAAAGCATTATTGGCCTGATAAAATTATTCTTTCAATTTTCTTGGTGATTGTCGATCTCATAATACACCAGGCATACTCCACTACTTGAGCCAATTATGGATCACATCATTTCCATCCTCACCACCCTTATTAATAATTGAACCTAGATTTATTTATCAAAAAAAAAAAAACCTAGATAATGAAAATGTTCACAATTTATTATCTCCTAAATTTTTTTCTCTTATAAATTATTTAGGGTTGGTTTGGGAATAGCCTATTTTAGTAACTTTTTGACATTACATATGCTAAGATTGTGGTTGACATGTACTCATATCTTCTGTAATTTGAGGAAAAAATAAAGAGTGAAAAGATTTATAATGTCCTCCTGTAATATCATCTGTTGTGACATCGAATGCATATGCATGGCCATACATGTAGAGGCCCAATAAAGATTTAAAAGACCAACAACACATTAACAGTTGTTAAACTGCTGTAGAAACCTCACATATTACGCTAGAACTTGACCTGAGCAAAATGACAGAGAATTCCAGTGGTGACTTATACTCTTGATTTAAATTACAATGGGGGAACTGGTTAGGGGATTGCTGGGTGGGAGGTACTGCTTGAGTCAATGCCTCAACTCCCAAGTGCATGATGCATATCCGGGTACAAGATGCCGCATTGAAAAGGAAAACTAATACTATCAACTAATCAATTTTGACTGCTCTGTTAGCAGACCACAACAACTTATACCCTATAATCTTGATGAATTGGTTAGATGTAGATACGTGGGTTAGATGTAGATATGTGCATGAATAGGAGGATCCCCCATACCTTGTGTTTTTGACTTCCCACATTGCACGTCATTATTTGTAGTTAAAAATTTGAAATGCTACTCATCTTTTGTATCACATGTGCTGATTAAATTAAATTGCATTAGGTTTAAGCTGTTCTTGTGGTGTTTGCAGATCGGTGATGAATTTTTGAATGGCCACTCAAACTCCCTAGTGCAGATTATTGGATGCAGTATGACTCCAGTATTGGATCATCTTAACATGCTTGAACCTGATAAAGCTTTGTTGCGTTACTCCCCTCTGACGTTTTCATCTCATCCTCCAAGTTCAGATCACTAAGATATTTGATGTATCTAATCTGTAACTGCATTTCTGCTGTAAATTCATTTCTCTCGTTGAATCCACAATGGGAGGTAAGAAAACATGATTGATGAAGAAGGATTGGCAAAGTGGGATAAAAAGTGAATAATGCACCACATCATCTGGTATGGCATTTTTTTTTTTGGTAAAAGCTTGAATTGGAATGCTCTTTTATTATTATTATTTGCTTTTCAACATTACCGTTATTCTAATATTTCAATAAAATACCAATAAATATTACTATACAATTAGAACATAAATGACAAATTAAATACAAGTAGAAGCTCTCCATCATCAACCATACTATATATATTAGATCGATCTTACTATAAATATTCAATAGGATCTTATTACTACATATATAACTGCAAAGGTTAAGTAGAGGTAGTTTAGTAGGTAGGTAGCTGCATGAGAGAGGCAAATTTTGGCTTTTCTCTACATACTTGCAGCTGATTATTCATTTCATGCCTCTATATTATTCATTCTATTCGTATACATACATACATGGATAGAGTCAGATGTTTGCGGAGTGGGTGGTGGCGGCAAGCTTTGCAAGAACACCAACAGCGAGTGAATTAGTGTATGTTGTTGGCTCAGTCATGGCTGACTCAGAACGTAGGTCTTTAAATTTATCATAGCGATCAGGACCGCCTACGATGGCGCCTGTAAGTTCATTCGTGTTGGGAACATTTTTGTTGAACCAGTTAACAAAGCTCATAGGGCAACTGACTTTAGCCAGTGCATCCTTGGACAAGTTTGGGACAGAAGCACCTCTGTGGTGGGCTTGTGTCGGTGGGTTGTTTCCGAACCCAACCATGTATGATCTTTTTTCTGGGTTTTCCCCCAGTAGATAATCCATCTGCAGTGCAGTGCACTCAATATGTCAAAAACCAAAATGAAAATGGTCATGTATAAGTTTTAGAAATAGAATAATTTTTTAAAAATTTTTTATTAGAGGAATTAGTTATTTAATAAAATTACCTGTTGCTTAGCGAAAGCTATGAGGTGATTGGAATTGTACTGTTGGTTGCCGCAGGTGACCTGTTGGTTGTGTTTAGCCAACAGATCACTGTACACACTAAACAGGAAAGCTGTGCTTGTTACGTATTGTGAGTTGGCCCCATCTCTTAGGTGAACCAAGCCACCTGATAATCAGATTAATAAATATTTACTTAATTTAAGGATCATTTTAACCGCACCACATTCATTCATCCATCCATGTGGAGAGAGAGAGAGAGAGAGAGAGAGAGAGAGAGACCTGGAGAGATGTAAACCTGGTGGTAGGGACTATAAGGAAGCACAGAGCATATGTAACTGTCAGCCTGCTGCTTAAAGGTCTCGAAACTCGTCTGCCCTTCCCAATACAACTGATGAATTTCATCAATTTCAATTAATTTGAGAGAGAGAGAGAGAGAGAGAAGAAGAATAATAATAATGTGACATACTTGAGAAAGCAGAACTTGAGCACCGGCATATTTAAGGTCCCAGCTAAACTCAGCAACCTTAGCGCTGATAGAGTTGTCCTCTATGTAGTCTAAATAGGCTGACTCCCTGGTTGCAAAGTATAGCCATGTTGCTGCCCACAGTAGCTCGTCCTGCATTCTTTCATTATTGTTATACTTAAATTCACACACGCGCGCGCACAGAGAGAGAGAGAGAGAGAACATAACAGAACAGAGGCTCTCACAACACGTACATTATATCCAGAGTAAGAACAATAGAAGGGGCATTCTCCATCAAAAGTTCCTTTATGTGTTTTGGCAAATTCAAAAAGCTGCAGGGAAGCATTCAATGGAAATGGAATTGGAATTGGAATTGGAATTGGAATTGGCAAGGGCATTAACAAAAGGAAAATTGAAAAAGAAAAAAGGAAAAAAGGGTGTACCAGTTTGGCTTTGTTAAGGAGGTGAGTAGCGTAGGTTTTATTGAAGTTTCTAAAGACAATAGAAGAAGCAGCCATAGCTGCACTTGTTTCAGCTGCAATCTCTGTTCCAGGTTTCTTCTCATCTATCTCTAGTACACTTCTTCCCCCTTCTTCCATGTTTTCCGGTTTCATCCAACATTCATGGTCTGCTACCGGATTTCCTACCTTTAATTATTTATTATTAATAATAAAATCATCATCATCTGAATTTAAAAAATAAAAAATAAAAAACATGAAAAAATAATTTACCTGGACATACAAGTGGTTAAGTTTAGAACTGGCTTTGAGAAAATAATCAGTGCCCCAGCGGATAGCGGAATGGACATTACTGAGCTCTCCAAATGCTTTCAACTGCGGATGATAGAAGATGGCAGCCCAAGACAAGGTTGTTACTGTGAATGCCATTGGTAGACCATACTTCACGTTGTCTCCGGCATCGTAGTATCCCCCAACAAGGTCCACCTATTTTATATTCATTCATTCATTCATTTCTACGGTAATAATAATAATAATTAATCAACTCAATTCAATTCAATTCAATTCTTAAATTTAATATAATTTGAGAGAGAGAGAGAGAGAGAGAGACATTAGCAAGTTTTCCATCTTGAAGAGCAGAATCTCCTCTCCAAAGAGGCCTATGTTTGGCAGGGAGCTTTCCAGATCTCTGTGCCTCCAGAAATATAATAGATTTGGTGAGTGCTTCTTTGTAATTTAATTCACCATTCACCAAATATCCTCCTCCAAACACCACCAGCAAAGCCACAATCCACCACCACCCACTCCATACTCTTACACACATTCCCATTCTTATTCTTATTCTTTTATATATATATATATATATATAATATGTGTTTGTGTGTGTGTGTGATATGAACACTATAGAAAAACCAAAATGAATTTCAAACTCAGAAGAAATAAAGAGAGATTTTTTGTTGTTGTTGTTGTTTTCAGGTAAAGCCAATCAGTTATTGGCAGTTATTTGGAACGTGGGGTTGGAGAGAGGAGACCTTTGTTTGACTTTTTACCCAAAATGGGTGGCAAAAATCCGTGTCTCGCTAACTGCCGCATAACTTTGCTTAAATATATCAGCCGTCTTCTTTTTATGCGACCATGATGCAAATTATAACCAATTAAAAAAAATTATACTCATACAGAAAATACTATAACAATGATGTAATAATACTGTTTTTGTAAATAAAAATTACCTTCATGGATATTTGAATAAATTTAGGAACACAAAAATCGATTACAAAATCAAACACACATGTATATAAATAAACTCTCTAAAATCTTATCCATTCATGTGTTATATGTTCCATTTTTGTTTGGTTGTGTTCACAGTAGAATTATAAAAATTTTGTTTCAAAGTGAAATCTTTTTATGAAATTCTTTTGAGGTGTATATCATATGTCCCTAATTATAATTTTTGTAGTCTTTAATTATGACCTGTTAAGGTGTTAATTATCATTTAATTATGATTTTTGTGACCTATTGAGGTATGAATTATGACTTAATTATCACTTGATTATACATATTACGATATTAACTACGACATTTGTGATAACCTATCCCACAAATATTATAACTCAGTTTTTAGAGTGATGCTACATGTACCAATTAGTGTACTAACTAGTGTACCAACACTAGTTATAATATTATTAGTGATCCCACTAATTATATAAATTACAAATACAAAAAATATTTTAAATTATGTCACATCATCAATTGATACACTAATTAATGGACTAATTAGTATAGATATATATAGCATTCATCCAATTTTTATTGAGCCACATTATTTGTACAGAGATTCTGTAAGATAAATGTTGGTGCATTTTTAATATTAATTTATTATATTTATTTTACGACCTTTCACATGATCCCCAGTTAGAGGTAATCGACATTGATTAGTAGTTGGTACTTGACATTATGAAGAGTCCCGCATTGACCAAAGCTATGTTTAGTTTTGTCTTTTTAGTTAAAAAAACATAAAATACACAAGTGAATAAGATAAAATATTACATATAAATTATAATTATTATATTTTCTTTTCACAGAAGTAAAAAAAGTCAAAAACAAAAACCAAACAAGACTAAAAAAATCAGGCTAAAATAATCAAAAAATCAAGCTATTTTAACTCTTCCCAAACGAAGACTAAAAGAGCAGATGCAAGAGGTATATATATATATGTGTGTGTGTAATTGAGATCGGGTATAATTTGCAAAAATAATTTGCAAAAATTGGATTCAACTCACGGGCCAAAGAAAGGTGTTCTTTTTGGTAGTGCTTCGGGTTCACTATTTTGTGCAAATTTGACTTGATCCATAAGACGATCAATCAGGTTATAATAGCTTGGAAGAGGCAAGTCAGAGTACTGTGAATGATGCATTGGTGTTTGAGCTCTCCTTACCGCAATGGGTTTGATCTCCTTAAAGAGAATGGGGTATTTGTGCCTCAACCTAATCTGATTATGTCTCTTTTTTTTTCTTTTTTTGTAATTTTCCTAATAAAATATTATTTTCTGGTATTTTCACCAATAATTTTAAAGAGATCAATATGGTGCAAGTATAAGAAAAAATCAATAACTGTGTTGGAGATTTCAACAAGGCTTTTCAGTTCAGGGGAGCTCATTGGAAGAGGTGGAAAGGAAAAGTTATTTTTCTACCTAAGTCTCCTTGAAGTTGCATATGTTCTCATCAAAAAGAACCAAAAAAAAAAAAAAAAATCCCACCAACGAGATGATTGATGAAGAGTATGAGGAACATGAAGAAAAGTGGCAAAATATAATATAAATGAGTACAATTGATGCTTTTATCTCTTGAATTGCCTTATTGATCATTTTTATGATTATTATGATACCACTTACACTTCAAAAAAAAAATTGAAGAGCCTTACAGACTAAGTATGATAGTAAAGAGGCAAGAGCAAAGAAGTATGCAATTAGTTGATTTTTTCGCTACCAAATGGTGGATGCAAAATTTGTTATGGAGCAAACACGAGATTTTCAAATGATTGTTGCAGACATGAGATATGAAGGCATCAAGATTGGTGACAACTTGGTAGTATCGAGAATTATAGACAAGCTACCACCATCTTCAAGAGAATTCCAAAAGATCATGCACCACAAGCAAAATGAGACATCCTTAGAGGCATTTATCACTTGTTTCCGCGTAAATGAGGAAGCTGGAGGCCAAAATGTGTTGATAGCACGAGGGTCATGTCAATTCCACCACAAAGGTAAATTTTGCTTAAGCAAATAATAACCTACCCAACGGTCAGAATTCCAAGAATACTTATTTGAATACTTATAAAAAGAATATGAAGAATTATGATAAACCTCACAACAAATGGTATAATCAAAGACAGTAAATTCTACATGATTGTTCCGTAAATCAAGTATTTATGGACAGCCACTTAAATGATGCCACCTACCATCTAGTATGTAAAATTGAACAATACCATTCGAAAGTCTAAGAAAGGATTATCACATCTAAAATAGATTTTTCTCCAACTTTAAAACCTCTCCACGCTGCAATACTGGTGGGGAATGAGGGGCAGGCCATCGACGATGGGGATAGATGAGGAGAAAAGCTGGCAGCGGCGGTCCACGGTGACAAAGGGAGGTGGTGATCGGTGATAGCTTTGGAAAGATGAAGGGCAGCAGTGAAGAAGGGAAAGAAAGAGGGACTTAGGGACTTGATAATATGTGTGAAGGTGTATAGATAAAATTTTGTGAAATTCAATTTTATATGAGGTGGCACTATTTTAATGGTGGACCGCAAACTCTTTATTTTATAGACTTACCGTAAATAATTTAATCTCAAATCAAAATAAGAACCAAGGACCACCTCTATATAATGAACAAAATATTGCATTTTTTGTCTATGGAAATGTAACAATTTGTTCTGAGAGACCGCTCGACCGGTCAATCGGTCGATCGAGTGGAGATGCTAGGCTTCCAGTATCTTGCTTGTTTACAGGCAGTACCGCTCGAACAGTAGTTTGGCCACTCGAGCATAGAAATGAGACTCCTAGTATTTTCACTATAGCTCTGCAAAAACTTCTGAGACCTTCTGTTTACCGCTCGAGCAGTGGAAAGTTTGCTCGAGCAGTCTCTTTGATTTCATGTACTTCGCTCGAGCATTGGAAAGTTCGCTTGAACGGTCTCTTTGGTTTCATGTACTTCGCTGAAGCGGTGGAAAGTTCGCTCAAGCGGTCTGTTCGGGACAACATATTTAAAAGTCAATCTAGACATTTTTTCTCTCACTTTTCCAAACCTCTCTCTCTTTATTCCACATTTCCGAACCCTAACCCTAAAAGCACTGGACTTTTTCATAATTTTACCCAAGATCCACCTTAAATCTTCAAAGAGGGTTGAATGAAAAGCTAAATCCTCAAGGTCTATCGATTATTTTTCGTTTTCTCAAAGATTATAGTTGGGTCTTCACTTTTTGCCTTCAATCTCGAGGTTAGGGGTACTTTTAACTTGTTATATCTTTGATTTGGGACACATATGTGGTATTTTCAATATATATATAGATTTCAAGATGTATGAAAATTTTGTATGTTATCAAATGGGTTTGATGAAAATGGGTTGTATTTCATGATTTTCTCGAAAGGTTTATGTATATATATGATGATGATTGTGTTATGGATGATGGGAATAGGCCTTTATACGCTTAAAGAGGGAAAAGTCCCAATTTTTCTCAAAACCCTAATTTTTAAATTTGTTCAATAAAGGAGTTTTGGTTCAATTGGTCTCCTAACCTTGAAATTGAATGTATTGACTTGGTTTTTATGTTGGAAAGTGAAATGTTGGGAACCTCTTATCACAAAACCTTGAGATGAAGATGGGTATGACTTGGGGAATTACCTTCATTGGGAATGTTTAAATTATCTGATTGTTGGGAATTGAAACTGCCTTAGGAAATTGAGATTTGTAAACTCATTCATCATGTCCATTCATTAATTATACGTTGCGGGTTGGAAATTGTTAATGATTGGAAAATGTTGGAAGGGGATAAATAGTGTATGAGTCTGGGTGATGAGTCGTATCTTAGTTTGAGTTGTGTCATGTATTTTGGTACTCGCGTAGGGAGTCAAGGTGCCCAATTGTCATATCTTGTGCATACCACTGAATGAATGTAGGAAAGGTTTTAGGGTGTCCACGAGCATGCCATTTTTAGAATCGGCGAATGTGGAAAACTTTGTTTGGGTGTCCACAAGCTTGCCGTTTCTAGAGTTGGCAAATGTGGGATTATTCTCTCTCTCTCTCTCTATATATATATTTGTACTTGTAGTATACGAATCTTGTATCAAGGCGTCATAGCGTATTTATACCCTATGTTTTGGATATGAATTTGTTATTGACATTACTCAGATTGGCATCATGGTTTTTACGAAAGAACAGACACAAGTTTTTCTCATCTCTTGCATGGCATGGTCATATGTGTTTCGATTAATTATACAATTTGTTAATTGTATTTCCTACTGGGCGATTGCTCACCCTAAAACTAACAACCTTTTAGGAGATGACGCAAATGTACTGCCAAAGTGAGTTGGCAATGGATGACCTTTGATTTGGAGTACAGAGGCTCTTTAATTGTTGATTATAGAAGCCATCGGCTATTTTGTGTTGGAGATATGACTCCTTTTTTTTTTTTTTTGTGTAATCAAGAAAAATCCTTGAAAAGATGTGAGCAGTTAGGGCATTTTATTTTGTATTATCTCTTATGCTTTGAACTATTTACTCAATTGATAATGTATTAATACAATGATGTAATTACATGAATAGTTCAAGGGGAAAGAGATAACTTGTGAGAACATGTATCAGATTATTAAATGCTTAATTTATCGTCATTAGTTATAATGTTCTTATATCAGCATTGTTATAACAGTTTGGATTAGACATGATACTTTCATGCTATTGGATTTAAGATTCGATGCTTTTATTGTTGTCTATAATCCTTTTTATCTTGTTGTTATTCGGATTTAGTTGTTTGGAGTTGTTGGCTATGTCTTGAACAGGTTGGGAGTTAGTTTTTCATAGGGATTTTTGTCTGTTTCTTTTTTTGTTTGCTCGAGCGATGATTTGGTCACTCGAGTGGTCTTTGAGTTCTCTCAATACTTTTGCAGATCCGCAAAACTTCTGGGAGTAGGGTGATCTTCGCTCGAATGGTCCTTTCTTTGCTCAAGCGGTTTCTTGTAGGTCTAAACTTCTAAGAGGGGGTCTTTGTGCACTCGAGTCATGTTTTGGTCGCTTGAGCGGTGTCACTCATTGTATCTAATGCTCGTGTGGTGGTTTGGTTGCTCGAGCGATCTATACGTATATTAGATCGGGGAGGAGCACTT